AAAAATCATAGATCTTGAAATACTAATAAGATTTAGGATGGATTATCAAGATATTTGTTTAGTAGATAGTGCAAATATGTACACAATTTTCAAGATAAAAGTACTTCTTAAATAATGTTAATACAATATTAGGTATATCGAATATCGTTGAAAGCTCCAGAAGAGATTGTATTATTTTATCAAATCATACGAAATTATATATTGACGATACATTTTATTCTAGTAAATTTGGAAAAAAATTGCTTTGTTTTAAAAATATTCCCTGCAATGGATATCACATTGAAACGATACAAGAAAATAATATTGAATAACTTTGCATAACTTTTTTTGTATCTGACCAGAAGCATATAAAAGAAAAACTTCATGCATTTCTATCGGCATGTATTATACATTTATAAAATGGTCTAATTAAATATTATCACGAACCAAAGTTCGTTGATGCAAAAAAATTTATACTTTGATATGATCGACTTGGACATCCAGGAACTATAGTAATGAGTCAAATAATAAACAACTCACATGGACATCCTTTAAAGTACCGAAGATTCTTTTACCTATTGATTATCTATGTGTAGCTTGTTTGCAAGACAAGTTGGTCATTAGATTTTCAACTACAAATGTCAATATTTTAATCTCCAGCTTTTTTGGAAATAATTCATGGAGATATATATATATAGGCCAATACACTCACTATGTGGACCATTTTGTTATTTTATGGTATTAATTGATTCTTCTACTGGATGATCACATATTTGCCTAATTTCCACTATGAATGTAACTTTTTCTAGACTACTTGCTCAAATCATAAAATTACGAGCGCAATTTCCCGATTACTCAATCAAGTCTATTGGTCTAGACAATGATGGTGAATTTAGATTACAAGCATTCGATGATTATTGCATGTCAATTNGCGCAATTTCCCGATTACTCAATCAAAACTGTTTGTCTCGACAATAATGGTGAATTTAGATCACTAGCATTCAATGATTATTGCACATCAATTGTGATTGCTATTGAATATTCGATTGCTCATGCTAATACACAAAATAGTTTAGCAGAGTCATTTATTAAACGTCTACAACTTATTTATAGATCATTACTTATGAAAACAAAACTCTCAGCTTCTATTTGGGGTCATGCCATATTACATACTGCATCACTGGTTCATATCAGACCAACTACATATTATCAATATTCACATTTGCAACTTGCATTTGGTCATGACATAATATTTCTCACCTACGGATTTTTGGTTATACTGTTCAAGTCCCAATTTCACCCCACAACGAACTAAAATGGGTCATCAACGAAGACTTGAAATTTATGTGGGTTTTGATGCACCATCTATTATTAGGTATCTTGAGCCTTTAACGTGTGATATATTTATTGCACGTTTGGCAAATTGTTATTTTGATGAAATGATTTTCCCAACTTTGGGAGGGGAAAAACTACATCATGATAAACAAGGTAAATTTTTTTGGAATGAAACAACTATATTTCACTTTGATCACTGCAGCAATCAATGTGAGCAAGAAGTTGAAAAATTATTCATTTGCTAAGAGTTGCAAATTGTTAAGGTTTTGATGTAATTGGAAAATCTGTGAATAAAAGGGACTAGATTTAATGTGTTGTAAAAGTCAAGGAGTAAGTTACAAACATTATAAATTGAGTTGTATTAGGTTTAGGGTTCAAGAATGGAAAATAAAGAAAAAGGGCAATGTAATTTCGCTATACTATCGTCATGACTTGGCTCGAGTGGCAAAAATAGAAACACAGTCCCTCACCGTCGCCCAGCTTTCGTTCAAGCGACATGGTTATCTGGAGAATCTTAATTCACGTTTTTAAGGCTTTTTATCCGATCCATTCATTCCTAAACCTACAGTATAAATATCAAAACACATTTGAACGTCTTTTCTTAAGGTTGAACATTGATTACTTCATATTCTCTCCATCCATAGATTTCAACCTTAATTGATTATTTTGTCATTGGCATTGAAAACATCAAAACCATTTAATCCAAATACCAAATTGCTACTTCCTACACATCTGTCAAAGTGCTAAAGATCAAGGAAAGGTGATTGGAGTTCCAATTGTTGGAGAACCCAGAGTTCTTCCTTGATCCACAGGAGATAGACGAATTCAAAAAGGCGGGAGTAGGTGCGGAGCGCGCAATTCATGAGGGCTTTGAAAACTGCAGTTGGGAGTTGGTGCAGGAGCACATAATCCATGAGAGCTGTGAGAATTACAATCAGAACGTTAGAAAGTACTAGTGGTAATCGAATGTGGTGGACTGTAAGTTTTAATTCGTTTATAGTGGATTGTTGACTAGGAAAGTGTTCGAAGTTTTTACCCAATTGGGGTTTCTCCGTGATCATTCCTAGTGTTGATTTATTATTTTCATATAATTGCGGTATTTCAACATAGAAAAATTGGACTATTTGATTAACAATCTAGATATAATTAATAGTAACTTGTTGCTAATTAATTATTAAGTTTTAATTTTGCATAATCACTTATTTACCCCCCTCTAGATGTAGTTTGGGTCGAGCCTTGTTATTTCACAAATTAATTACCAGATGTATTTGCTGACATAAGAAAAGTAACCAAGTCATATATACCAGCAGAAAACATTCCATCAAAAATTGATGTCCCTACAAGATAATTTGTTATAGCAAATGAATCTCAAATACACCAGAAGCTCACAAGAAAAGTCAACCAAAAATACTTTGTATCTCAAAAAAGAAAAGCACACAAGACAAGCCAACCAAAAACTCCAAAAGAAATAACATTAGAAAATATTGATCAATCAATATTGAAAATATGGTTCCTGAAAAATCCCAAGTGTCTGAAAATAATGAGATATTAATAAATTATATATTATCTTATAAATTATGCGAAAGAAATAATTTTGTTATAGACAATATTGTCGCATTTAACGTGGCTCTTGATATTTAGTAAAATGGGGATCCTGAACCACAGTCTGTTAAAGACTCTCAAAATAGGAATGATTGACCAAATTGGAAAGAAGTCATACATGCGG